TGCAAGGAGCAAAAAGAAAAATCTTTTAAAAATCTCCGGCCTGACTTAAAACTTTGTTGTTTTTTTTTTTTTCCCCTCTCTGCTCTGTAGCTGCTGCGGCAGCCCCGGGGCCACCCAGCCTGGCTGTCCCTAAGTCTCCTTTCTCCTCCAGGTCTCCCTGCTCCCCCGGGTTGTGTAAAACCCTCCTGAGGAAACGACTCTGCCGGCTGGTCCTGCAGCCCTCCCCGCGCCTCCCCCCCGAGGCGTTCTCCCCCAGCTGGGATTTCAAGCCAGCAAGTGCCATCTCCCGCCCCTGGGCGCTTAATCGCACGAGGTGTGCTCTGGGTCGCTGTGTCACTGGCTGGGAGCTCTGTTCCTGTCCCCCTCCACACCCCAAATGGAAGCAGGTCACGCTGGGGCACATCCCCCCGCCCTTTCCCACTCTGCTTTTAGCCCCTCACCACGGTCGGAGCTGGGGAGAGGACACTGGGAGACGGCCCGCGGGCCTCCTCGGGCTGCGTGAGGACTCTCAAGGCCCCGTTTTCCCTCGTGTCACTTGTCCCTCCTCCCCGGCAGCGCCACCATCCCCTCGCTGAAGCATCGTCTGCAGAGGAACGTGGCTGCCATGGCCTGGAAGCCGCTCTGTGCCTCCATCCTCGCCGTCGCCTGCCAGAGCTGCGTCCTGGTGTGGCACCTGGATCCCACCTCCCTCTCCACGAGGTGACAGCTTCTCCCCAGGGGTCCTTGTGAACTTGTTTGGGGTAACACCGGGCAGGTGCTCAGCCCGGACACGGCGCTGGCTTTCAGCAGCATGTGGACCAGCCCTTTTTTCTCTCTCCTTCCCTGCAGACCGTCGTCTGGCTGCGCCCAGGTGTTGTCCTACCCCGGGCACAGCCCCGTCACCAGCCTGGCCTGGGCTCCCAGCGGGGAGCTGCTGCTCTCGGCGTCCCCGGTTGACACGACCATGCTGGTGAGTCAGAGGCTTGGACCTTCCCCGGGTGCTGCCTCGGGGATCCTGGGGCTGTGAACACACCCCGGGGGTCACCGAGGGACCGTTGGGCTGCGGGACTGCCGGGAACAGGCGGCGTTTCCTCAGTCTGAACTAGATCTGAGAACATCAATCCGCGTTCCCCAATCCACGCTAAAACTCCCCCAAAGCTGCGCTAACTACCCAGGCAGCCTTCAGATCCCACTGTCCTTCTCCTCCTTGTTTGTCCCCTCCAGGTATGGGATGTGTCCACCGAAAACTGCGTCCAGCTGCAGTGGTTTGGGGGTGGCGGCGTCACTTACTTGGCTTGGTCACCCGATGGCAGCAAGGTCCTGGCAGCCACCCCCTCTGCCGTGTTCAGGTGAGCTCCCGGCCTGCGAGATGGTTTATCTCAGCCCTTATTATCATTTTGGTTTGCTCCAAAACCAAGCAGATCTGGATTCTTTGCTCCAAAGCTCTGGGTTCTTCCTCACTCTCCAAATCCTACTGTGTTTAATGCGGGGGGGTGTGGGGGGGAAGGTGGATAATGGGGTCTGATGACTTGGGCTCCTCTTGGAGCAGCAGAATTGGGGCAGATTTTGGGTGTTTGACCCCTCACTTCTGTTTGTCTTTCAGAGTGTGGGAGGCTCAGATGTGGACGTGTGAGTGGTGGCCCACGATGAAGGGGCGCTGCCAGGTAGGACGGGGCCATTTCCCACCCCAGATGTTGCCTCCAAGGGGTGTATCACAAAATCCCAGAATCATCCGGGATGGAAAAGCCCCTGAAGCTCCTCCAGCCTGACCATGGGCCTCCCCCTGACCCTTCCCAACTCCCCCAGATCCCTCAGCGCTGGCTCAGCCCGACTCTTCAACCCCCCCAGGGATCCCGGGGACTCCCCCCTGCCCTGGGCAGCCCATTCCAACGCCCAACAGCCCCTTCTGCACAGAAATCCTTCCTCAGAGCCAGCCTGACCCTGCCCTGGGCAGCTTGAGGCCATTCCCTCGGGGCCTGGCGCTGGCTCCTTGGCTCCAGAGACTCATCCCCCCTCTCTGCCCCCTCCTGGCAGGGAGTTGCCGAGGGCCAGGAGGTCTCCCCTCAGCCTCCTCTTCTCCAGACTGAACCCCCCCAGTTCCCCCAGCCGTGTATACGATGTTTTACTAAAACTCCCCCGTTTCTAGCTGGCTCCCAAAAATCCCCCTGGAAGCTGGGCCGCGGGGATTAACGTGCTGTGTCCCACAGACGGGGTGCTGGAGCCCTGACGGCAGCCGACTGCTCTTCACGGTGCTGGGCGAGTCCGTCATCTACTCCTTGTCCTTCTCAGAGTACCGGGGTGAGTCTCCCCGGGGCGAAGCTTTCCAAGAGCCCGTCCCCAAGCGATTCTCTTGCTTCTGGCTGTGATGGTTTTTTGTTTATCAGCTGCATTTCCCAGCCTGAAAGGGTGGAGGAAACACGCAGTGGGGAAGGGGGGTCTCGGGGGTCTCTCAAAGCACAGAATCTCCATGGTGTTGAGTTTTTTCCTCCCTTCATGTTGCTTCTTGCTCCCAGTTACGGTGGAAAATGGTTTGCAGGGAGACTTTTACAGTGAGTTAATGCCCAACTCGTGACTTTTTTCCACAGAGGGGGCTGGTCCTGATGTTTGTTGAGGGGAAACCTCCCCTGTCCTCCATCCCAGACCTGGCAGATGCTGCTGGGACAGCAGCGTGTTGCTCCACAGCCACTTTAAAAAACAGACCTTAAGTTATGTATCGTTTTGGAAGTAAAAAGTGTGATTTAGGGAGCGAGATGACCCGTGCAGTAAAGAGGAGACACCGAGAAGTGACCAGGCTCTTTGTTTCAGGGGAGATGCAAGGGCAAGTGGGAGGCTCGAAAACAGCTTCTATCGTGGCAGATCTGTCCGAGACCACCTTTGAGACGCTCTACGGGGAGGAGAGGTGGGTCTGGCTGTGCCCGGTGCCCGAACACCACACCTGGGAGGCTGGGGGGGGGTGTCTGTGCCCCCAGCCCCAGCACTGGAGGGGCGGTATTTCACTGCTGCTCATGCTGGTTTCAGGGTTGGAGGAGAAGCCCACTCCATGGTGTGGGACCCCACCGGCGAGAGACTCGCTGTGATCATCAGAGGTAAGTGCTGCCTCCACCTGCCCACCCCAGCGCCGGGATTTGCCCCAAAATCCCCCTTCTAGCAGGCAAAAGGGGCACAAACCCCGCCGGGGTGAGGCGGTGGGTCGGGAAGGCAGCAGCGCTCCGTATCCTCCGCAGAGGGATGCAGCCGCATTCCCTCCCCACTTCCAGTCGGGTGAATCACCCCTCCCAACCCCCCCCGCCGGGTCTCCGTGTTCCCACATCGCACCCGGAGCCCGACTGGGCCTCTTGGCTCCGTTTTTTTAGGAGCAGCCCCTGGGATAATCGAGCCTTTCAGGCTGTCCTGGCTGGGCCCTGCTCCCAGACAAAGCGTAGCTTTGAGGAAGCACCGAAACACGGTGCTGGGGCTGCTGCTGCCTCGAGCTCCCTCCCTGTGCGCCACCGGCCGAAACTGCTGAGCCCACTCAGGAGCATGCGGGTTTTTTTTGTTTTTTTTTTTTTCCCGTGCATAAAGCTGGGGGGGAAACCCTGAGGGTACCAGGACTCCCATAGCTGGTACCCCCCTGCCCTCCCCACAGCCAGTGAGGATCTTGGTGCAGAAACTGTGAGGGGGATGGAAAATAACCTTCATGCTGGAGAGACAGCCCCCTGCCCCCATCACACCTTACAGGCTGGGCTGGTTCCAAAGGAGCTGCTTCACCTCTTGCCCAAACCCTTCTCAGCCAAACTGGCTGCCCAAGACCTCGGAGCCAGCTTTTAAATCATTGAAGGATCTTTGAAAGCCCCATCCTGGGATCCTACTCGCCTCAGTGCGAGGAAAACACGGTCCCCATGGAGCTTCCCCCCACCTCAGAGGCTGCTTGTCCTGGGCTCTGCAGCACCCACAAAAATCTGACCTCTGTGTCCCTTGTGCGGCGTCAAGGGGCCCGTCTGCGCCGTCCCTGGGGCACGGGGAAGCCTTCCTCCTCCTCCTCTCCCTCCTGCAGGGCACGCTGACGCTCCCGGGAGCCAGACGGTCATCGCTGTGTTTCGCACCCGCAACAGCCCCGTGTTTGAGCTCCTGCCGTGGTGGGTAGCGCTGGGGTCGGGGTTGGTTTGGGGTTCATTGGGTACCACCAATCCCCCGGGGCGTGTGGGGAAGAGACGCTGCTGTCCTGAGCTCCTGCTTCAGGCTCTATCACCGCTTTCTGCCAGAATCAGTTGCGTTTTGGCCATATTGTCCATTATCCACCTCAAAAAAATCTTTTTTGCTTTGCCTGGTGCATCCAGTCAGGGCCCAGACATCTCCCTGTAACCACGAGCCGCCCTGAAAACCCTGTGTTTTGCCAGCGTTGCCCCGTGGCTGTGCTGTAACTGCAGCTTTTTCCTTTTTTCCTCCAGTGGTTTCCTGCGGGGTGAGTGCGGTGCACAGCCCCAGCTCATCGCCTTCCACCCCAGCTTCAAGAAAGGCGCCCTCCTGACCGTGGTGAGTTGGTTGGACTCGATGCTCTTTGAGGTTTTTTCCAGCCCAGATGGTTCTGGGATTCTGTGAGTGTGGTCCCTGGTTCTGGCAGCGTTGTCGGGGCTCTTAGTGCTCCCCGGAGTCAGTGGCGAGGAAACTCCTCTGCTAGGGGAAGTGGGGAACCCTGAACCTCCCCCGCCTGAGGGTTTGGGGACCAACACAGAGAACAGGGTGTGCAGATCATCCATATGGACCTGAAATCTCTCCCTGCACTTGGAGGAGCCTTGGAGTAACCTGCCAGTCAGAGAGGGACTGGGGGGGTGAGAATGAGCCAGAGTGTGCCCAGGGGGCCAAGGAGGGCAACGGCATCCTGGCTTGTGCCAGCCCTGGCGTGGCCAGCAGGGACAGGGAAGGGATCTGAGCCCTGGGCTCGGCACTGGGGAGGCCGCCCCTCGCTGAGGGGGTTCAGTTCTGGGCCCCTCACCCCAAAAAGGCCATTGAATGACTCGAGCGTGGCCAGAGAAGGGCAACGGAGCTGGGGCAGGGTCTGGAGCACAGGTCTGCTGGGGAGCGGCTGGGGGAACTGGGGGGGTTCAGTCTGGAGAAGAGGAGGCTGAGGGGAGACCTCCTGGCCCTCGGCAACTCCCTGCCAGGAGGGGGCAGAGAGGGGGGATGAGTCTCTGGAGCCAAGGCCCCAGCGCCAGGCCCCGAGGGAATGGCCTCAAGCTGCCCAGGGCAGGGTCAGGCTGGCTCTGAGGAAGGATTTCTGTGCAGAAGGGGCTGTTGGGCGTTGGAATGGGCTGCCCAGGGCAGGGGGGAGTCCCCGGGATCCCTGGAGGGGTTGAAGAGTCGGGCTGAGCCAGCGCTGAG